GCGAGGGGGGAGGAGGGGGTAGGGCTGAGCCTCACGTAAGCTTCCTAGCCCATATTTAAAGGAAATGCAAACTAACTTCAAAAATTTAGTTGCACTAATACAAATTTTGGCCTCAAAATTTCATTTTTTTCTAAAAGAAAACGTAATGCTTGAGTCTGTGATACTTGAAAAAAAGGGAGGGGGGGGGGTTCAGTCGAGCCTTACGTAATTTTTAGAGGGGGGGAGGCCTTAGATGCCTTACGGTGCTTTACGAGGGGGGAGGGGGGTCTAAAGATGGAAAAAAACCTTACGGAATTTATAGATGGCCCCTTACAGGGCGCAAAATTTGCGCTAGGCGAAGGGGGCAGGAGCAACTTTTAAAAAAATCATCAATCATACCTTAAGTCAAATCGGAATTGCTCCTTTCTCTCTCTCGCCGCCAAAAAGGGTAAGTTTGAAAAGGGACCCTGTTTCACCCTGCCCTCCCGAATGGCACCCCTACTTTTAAAGCTGATGTTCTTGCCTTGTTTGACCACTCATAAATGGCGTCAGCTGCACAGGAGCAAGGGAGGTCTGAAAATGCCTGAAGCTTTATCTTTGCGAAAAATGCTGTTTTGAAAATAATATAAGGAGCAAAAGAAAAGGCGAACAGTGAAATTTGGATTTTTTTCAGATTTTCTCCGTCACATATAGGGGAAAGGTCTTTTTCAGCCTAGCAAAATTTGTAAAGAAGGAGGGGTTTGAAGATGCCTAGGCCTGATAAGGGAGGAGGGAGGAAAAATGCAAAGAAATGATCGCTTCTCTCCTTCTGTCACTTGCCGCATGTACCCATTTAAAGTCTTATAAAACCTCAGATTATGACTTGCTTTGATAGTTCGCCTTCAACTATGGAGAATACTACCTAGCATTATCGCAGAGCCGGAATAGTTGTTTCCCTTTGAGTGAACGATTCATAAAATGGTTGTTGTCGTTGGCGGGACAAAAGTTTTGATGTGACTTCATTTGACAGCCATCATATTTTTATAGCTCTACGCGCTTTTTATTTTTGCATTTTTGTTTACTATTTCTTTAAATACGAAACAATGTAGTAGCATTTTCCAAACTTTACGACAATCTTACTAAGTTTATAAATAATAAAAAATGAAAAATAACATTTCTGTAATTACTGCCTTTTAGGACCTTTCAAACAAATAGTCACTTCCGACAGTTAAGACATTCAGACAAGACATTCAGACAAGACATTCAAGGTTTTACGAGACACGTTAATTACTCAAGTGTTACAGTTCACATTGTAACTTTAATGTAAAAAATTTAAAAATAAAAATAGTACAATACTTTTTCACTTATCTTGGTAATATGAAATATAAAATTTTTTACTTCATATAGCCAGGAGTGACGGTGATTGAAGAAGTGGTCAGTTAAATGGTAAAAAATGGCTATAATTTTAGCCTGATATGCAATACATCACATGTGATTCTTAAAAGTATCAAGAAAATTATGTGAACTACATTCTGCAATCCGGAACGAAAATTTCTGGCTCATCAGTAAAAACACTTATGTGCTTAGGAAAACTAATGGTGCATACGTTGTTTCTAAACTAAGACAAACATTGTAATTCCTAATTGGAAAATGTAGTCCATACGTAAGGACATTCTTGATATTAGCTTTTTGCAAAAAACGGCAAATATTTTGGACAATTGCGTAGCTAGCATTGAGATATACTGATTGATCTGCCATTTAAACCTTATAGAAAAGGATCGATAAACAGGGTATTCCCAATGAACACCTTTAATATCGATTCTTCACCGCAGCTTCGAATGGGGAAATATCAATAATCGATCATTCACGCTTCGCCACTATTTCGAACGAATGGGCTGCAAATGAGTAAGGGAACTCAATCAGGTGAATGCACGGTTAAAGGCTGATATTACTGAGCGATTGTATTTTTAGTGCGGAACAAGATATTCACACTCATTGTCAGAGTGATGTCCGGTAGATCGTCATCCATTGCCAATAAACTGACCAGAACGATCCACGATTAAGCCTGTCAAATACTTTTTGGCAATGTCTCATCAAGACCTTGTCCGATCGGCGGAGATTATTAATGCATAACTTGAACCGCTCACTCAAATTTCAGCAGTCCACTCAGAGCTCGAGATTGTCCAGCATTGTCAACATGTTTTACAGACATGTAAAAAGGGATGTTCTGGCGCAATCACACGAAAATTTCATCGAATAATTCAATTATGTTCTTTTCAGCTGAATTATGTCACACATTTTCACTTTCAGGAATTCGCACTCGCTTGCAAAAGAGTTCAATGCATTCTAATGATGTCAGGTCTTTTCTTTTTCACTTCTCCTGAGGCTGAGTGTGTTGTTTACTTTGATTTTAATCCGTAATCTTATTATAATATCTTTTGTTTAGCTTTGTTACGTAAATGTAAATTATTTTTCTCTAAATAGAGAATAAACAACAACAAAAAAGTGAGGCTGAATTCAATGTGTGCGATGATTTTAAGTCTGGCAAAAGTGCTTAATTTTTTCAGTGAAAAATTTTTCAGGCAAATCTGTGACACGAACAGCGGGGACCAGGGGCACGAAAAGAAACTTGAGAAAAAAACTGACACCATTAAATTGCAAATATCTTAGGCTCGCTTTCATGTCATTGCATTCACTCCCAATCACAAAATCACATGATAAATCATGATGAATGATCAAATATGATTTGAATAATAATTCAAAGGTCAGATTTGATGATTACTGTATTGTTGATCAATTTCAGTGACAAAACAAGTGTCTTGGACACACTATCATCTGCACTTTCATTCACCTTCCAATCGCAAAATCACATCCTGAAAAAGGTAGGTATGAAAATATTCCGGAATGTTTGCACATGTCGTGAAAGAATGATCCTGGTCGCCAGGTCTGATGATCATTGCAATTTTCAGAGCACATCCTGCACACTGCACACTCTGTAAACTTTAATGTTTTACACGAGAGGTAGACGTAATGCGACTTATCAATACGAGCCATTTTGACACTTCATTTACAAAATATTTATTTTGATTTTGAACGCGGATCTTAGAATAACCGTCACTTGACTATAAAATATTGTGAGCATCACTAAACGAATCAAAGACTAAGCATTTTCTTTGTTACCTGAGAGAACTAAAATACAAACTTGAAAATTTCACTGAATTTTATTTACATTTTAAGGATTCTACCTTCAAATTTTTTACGTTAGAGAACGGAATTTTCGGTTCAAACACATATATTTTAGTTTATGTGATATCTCTAAATCGTTGGATTTAGTAAGCAAGGATAAACTCGTGTTCAGTTCTTCTATTAGTTTCGATTCAAATAAAATTCAATAAGTTTTTCACGTGCAAACTCTCAATTGTCTTTATTCTCATTTCTCCAGTCCCCATGACAGCATCGATGCCCGGTGGAAATGTTCCACTTGAAATATCTTATGGACAAAATGTACAGTGAAAAATGCCTATTACAAGAATGTATGCTTCAAAAAATCCAACGCACAATTTTCCCTCGGTTTAAGAAATTTTTTCAATGTGGATAGTTAACTAGGTATTTAATGTCTCAAAGGGTCGGAAAAGATGAGTGAGAAATACTTTTTTTCAAAATTTTGGTGGATGCGCACTTCTTCCAAAAGACCACTCAGTACTCATACTTTTAGCAGTACTGTGACAGCCGATAACAATCTTAAAAATCATTTTTTGTGCCCTTACTCAGGATTTGTATCATGAAGGAGCACCCTCCGCCAGGAGAGATGGCTCGGAAATCACGCCTTTTTTCACTAAAGCACGTATTCAAATGTTTAAAAAAGACGTTTAACGAGCAATTTCGGCAGAATCACACGGTAATAAGATACCCCCCCCCTCTCGAAGAATCTTGACGTTTTCGGTTATTCGACTAAATTCTTATTATTTCTGAAATAATTTCTCTTGAATAAAATCTTGATAAAAAGGGGATACCGCATAAAATTATACTTGCTGTATTAAACGAAATTTTCGTTACTATTGGGTTCGAGGGTTGGATTCGAGGTTAGTTTCGAGGGGGTCCATCGAAAACTCAATTTCAGAAAAGTTGATAACAACGCCCTTCTTCAAAAAAACCGGTTCAATTGTGCATCGGACACTCGAAAGCAGACATTTCAGCAACACACACTTCACATCGAACATTCCGTACATTAGACACTTCCACATGTCACCGCATCATCAGATCTGGCCGCGACACTGGATCTCATTCCTCACGACACACGGTGGATCGAGGCAGTCGGAGAGGTCGGACATATAATTTTTGACTAAAACTGCAAATTTTAATGTTTATTTCGTCACATTTTAAATTTGAAGGGATGCTCCCAGTATAAATTTTCACGAGGAAACCAATGGAATCACTTTCAGAACCTCAAAATTGTGTATAAACGGAGTTATAAGCTTTTAAAGTTTCAAAATTTTGTCCGACCTCCCCTCTGCCAAGCTGAGCACGAACGCCGTAAATCCATATAGATTTTCCCTCGTTTTTTGGAACTTAACACTATTTGTAAAATAAAAACCGTTTTACAAACGCACTTCAAATTTCCAGGTTAAATTTTTTATAGGATTTGCGAAAGAATTCTGTAAAAACATTGTCCCATTGTACACAAGTTTTTCTTCTACTAGACATTGTTTCCAAAAAATGTAAAATGGCGTTTACGGCGTTTTTGCGTTGCGCGGCAGTCCTATTGACTCGATCCATTGTGCGACATGCGCGAACGACGGCGACGACACGCAAAGGAAAGCATACTTCTTCTCGAAATCAGGAAGCGACACCTCCACTTCACTCAGCGCGGCCCGGCCGGCGTGGCCGTTTCTCAAAACACAACACTGGGGACACAGGGATCCGGGCCGGGAGTCGGGCCACCGAGGAACTTGAAGGAGTCCAGAGGAGTGGAAGAACGGATAGTGGTGATCGCGCGACGGCTCAACAAGTATCAACTACTCCGACCGGGATAATATACATCATGGCCCCCCGCTAAAAATAGCCACCCCTAGAAGCGAGCCCCCAAGGTTCTCCCCCGAAGTCCGCGGGGCTTCCCCGTTGACCAATTGCAGTGCAACATTCGCCGGGTTTCACCTGTGTAGGTGGATGCACAGTTGCCAAATCATCGTAGAATAATTTCGATGACAAAATTTCTGCATGAGAATCTCGTAAAACCTATTATTTCATGGTCTCCATATGGACACGTAAAGAACGAAAGAGTGCGTGAAGTCATGAACGCCGAGCAGAACATCGTGCATGAAATTATGACCAAACAGCCCTGGTATGGTCATGTTCAACGAATGGCGGATGGCAGATTGCCTAGGAGGGTACTAGATTGGGTTCCTCCTGGGAGGAGACGTAGGGGACGTCCAGCAAAATCGTGGATAAGTGGCATTCAAGATGAAATCACAAGATGCCATTTACCAGATGACCTCTGGACTGGGGCTCTAGATCGATAGAAGGGCGATTCGGTGTCGCAGAGCGACCAGGCGCGCTGTAAAAGCGACTTCAATATATGTATCCATATGGACATTGGGTCCCATAAAGACCCTCAAGCCGTTATCACACTGAACAATCCCTCCTGTACATCCTGAGAATGTGCACATGAACACAGCTTGTACAGTCGGCAGTGAGCCACTGCCGTATCCATTGCCACTGTCCATTTAGACTACATTACGCAATTAGGAGCTACAATTTTGTGTCTCAGTTTAGAAACAACGTACATAACAACATTTTACCCATGCACATACGTGTTTTTACAAATGAGTCAGAAACTGTAGTTTCCTAATTGCAAAGTGTTGTCCATTTCTCCCGCAACCGTCAATGGAAGTGGAGTCGGACTGTTAGCGTAACAACAGTCATGGGATAAAAATCAATGGCTGCGGTTTTAGGTGCGAGGGTATTGTTGTCTAACTTTGATTATTGCCAATTTCTGCAACTGTTACAACCTTGCCATAGTAGAGGCTTAGGTTGAAAAGATGTTTTCGAACGTAACGCATGAAATTTGCTTCAAAACTGGGTGGTTGAGTTTATTTTAATCCAAGCAAAAAAACCCTTATTTTCTGAATTTTTGAATCATCTAATTGGAAGGTCGGTCATGTTCTTGATTTTAAGAGCTTCATAAAGCCTCCGGTGGCTGAGCCGATCAAAAATAGATCCTCCAGAAGCTACGATCTTCCTACTATTAGAAGCCACTAAACGCACGTAAATTATCAAAACTCAGCATCTTAGCTAATAGCTACATCTTGCAAGGAACAAATTTTGATACACGCAGCGAGGAAACCTCTTTAAGTCTTTCAAAACCCGCTAGAATGCACCAAAATTTAAATCGAACAAGTCCCGTTAGTTAAATTTAAAATATTTTGATTCATCCATGAGGCGCTATTTCAGGGATGTGAATCGGTATCAGCATTTAAAGCCAGCCTTATTTTAGTTTAATATTGCCTCTAATTCTTTTATTTAAATCAATCCATTATTCCTAGCACTTTCCAGAGATGATTTCGAGAAATCAAATCGAAGTTCCCCTGGAAGAGAAATTCCTCTCCGCAATACCCGGGAACGGAAAACTGCGTATCTTTATCTGCAGGATATGGAGGCAGAGGTGGAAAATCTTAGGAATGAACGGAAAAATCAGAACAATAAATGCTCACTTTGACATCGTAAAGCGGGTGACAGGGTGTCTCTCGGGGTCTGCCGTCTTGGAGTGGGGGAGGAGGAGGGGAAATTCAGCGAGAAAAAGCAGCGGTGACTCAGAAGAAGCTTAGATTCACCAGAACGGTATTTCTCGATGGTCAATCGGTTCGGAACAGTTTTCTATAAGCGGATATGAATTATCAAGTGAGTCATACAATTCATCAGACGAATATTTTCGAAGAATGGCGGGGGGGGGGGGGGGNAGAGGGGGGAGGGTACAAGGTCGGGAAAATCTTGCCAAAACAAACCATGACTTTGCGACTTGAATGATTCTCAGGGAGAGTGAGAAGAGAGAGAGGGGTAGACAAATTTGTTTTTTAGTTGTAACGTCAGAGACGTGTTCCGATACAGACTGTCTAACATGTAGATGTAAAATTTTATGAAACTTTATGAAATTAAATTTTATGAAATTTTTTCGACCGCGGTAGTCCAGAGATGCAAGATGTGATTTCACGAAATGAACTTTCATGAAATTTCTTTTTGCTGACAAGTGTTTCTTGTTTCATGAATATGCAACTCGCAACAGTTATCCGAGTATTCGTTAAGGAACTTCGAAATTTGACTCATAATATTTTTTCTCTAAATTTCAAAATTCAGATTTTATAACTTCTATACGTCTGGCATACTGAGTCTTTTGCAGAAGTTTAAAAAAATTTACTAAATATCTCAGAAGTTCATGACATTTTATTTTGCCAAAGTTTCAAAGAATGAAACTCGTTCAAGAGTCACTGCGCTGTTGAGATCATTCGAGGTTTATGGCGATAAAATCAAGGAGTTTCAAGGATCCTCAAGAATTTCCGCTCAATTTTTCAAGAACTTTCATGGATTTACCGACGAAATTTATGGATCTAAAACAATCCCTGAAAATGGAAGTTTACTCTTCCTGACCCTTAAGTTCTCTATACCTATGCATAATAACAAGCAAATGTATCCTACACATTATGTATGACAGGGTACGGCAATTTGGAGAGCTCCAATGCGAAAGGGAAAAAGAATAATACGCTGCGTGAGAGGGTAATGCACGGGATAAAAAGCCAAATGATGTAAAGTTCAAATTGTGGTAGTAACGCAACTCAAGTTAGGGTAGTACCGCAACATTTCGGTTAGTTACCTATTTTATTGGGGTACTACCATAATTAATTGGGGTGCTACCTTAATTAATCGGGGTACTACCACAATTAATTGGAAATGTCCGTATCATCCAACAACCTCGTGCTTTTTTTTCCGTGTTGAAAAGTCACATGCACGTCAGAACGTTTCCGAGACGCACTGGAAAAAAAACATTGGATCTTGAGTCCAGACTATTAAAAACATCGACAAGAAAAAATACTCTTGATTCAATCAGATTTAAGCTTAAATCAAGAACCAAGCCTCTTAATTTGAGCGGATTTCCTTTTGATTTAAGCTTAAATCTGATTAAATCAAGAGTCCTTTTTCTTGTCAATGTTTTCAAGAGTCTGGACTCGAGATCCAATGTGTTTTTTTCCAGTGAGCTGTACGCAGGAGATACAACCAATTGCGTGGTCTCCGTTGTGATTTTTATGATATCACATTTTTTTTTACGGTCCAGCGGATTTCCTTTTGATTTAAGCTTAAATCTGATTGAATTAAGAGTCCTTTTTCTTGTCAATGTTTTCAAGAGTCTGGACTCTAGATCCAATGTGTTTTTTTCCCAGTGAACGTTTCCAAGACGTCAAACACCTTTTGATCGACCACCAATGACCAATCACAACGTCTCCCGTACGCGGTAATGAAACCAAGTCTGAGGCCTCGACCGCAGCCGCCCGGAAAATCTTCAAAGATTCAAAGTTCGTTCGAACGCTACGGATTAATTTCACGGAAGCGGGGAGCGGCCAACTCGGGGCGGAAAATAAATCGAGTTTCGGCCGGCTTGCGACTCGCGGTGGCATCGCCAACTTTCAAAAATAGGAAAAATGGATCCGTCTCCGGGTGTGTACGCCGTACGCGCACTCGAGGCCCGAGAACCCAATTAAAAGCGTGTTTACGCTGCATTTAATTATTACGTTAGCGGCGCGCGCGCTGCCCGTTGTCCGCTGCAACGCTGCTGCAGGCGCGCCAGAAATAACCGGGCGAGCGGGAGCCGCCCGAGGGATTTTTTCGGCCCTGCCGCTCCGCCAGTCAAGTTCACCGATGTTTTGAGCCAAATTTTAGGACCTTCTCCAAAACACGCCTCAAAGGTGTCCCCTTCTCGATTTTTCATCCCGGGACCGAGCGGGAATTTTGCCGATACCCGACCTTGAAAAATCTTCAAAGATGCAGCTGCGGCCGTGCAATTAGTCATCTCATTAAGCAGGGCGTTTTCGGTGGGGATTGTGCAAATTGGCAGCATTGCTATCCTCCATTTACATCCATTCGAAATATCGAGTTGGGCGAGGCAAGTTGCCCCATTAAGAATCGATTGTTTTACTTACATTCAAATGGATGAAAAACAGTTGCCAAGCCCCTAATGAAATTGTATCTTTATGTGGCCATCACTTTCAAGAATCCACGCCAAGTGGGTTCTTGAAAAGTGATGAACCAAACGCTGAACTAGCGAAAAATTCCAGGTCTGAACACGAGTGAAAGTTAAAATTGAGAAAAACCATCGTGTGACGTTATGGGGCATTTTTACCAATTTAAAAACATGCATTTTAGTAGACTCTATCATTCTTTCATAGCTAAATTAATGATAGTTGACGTAAGAACCAAAAATATTTGTATGCTCAGTTCATTCAATAGTTTCCATTCTTGAAAGTTTAAGTTTCACCGCAAATCGATGGCTGAAGTCTAAAAATGTGTAACTTAGATTGCGAAAATGTAAGTCTCCGCTCATGTTTTATTTTTTTAGAGTAAAACTAATTATAAGTTTTCGATGTCATTTTCTGCAAATTCTTTTCGCTCATTGTTAAAAACCATTTGAAGCAAAGAAACCTGCATCTCCACATTTCTATGAAGGCTTAAATCAGGGTCTGCTACAGGATACGATCCTGAAAATTTGCAAATTATATCAGCAGTTTTCATTCAGGTATGTTTAGACTAAATACAATAGCTCATGAATCTAAGAAATTTAGAGATCCAACGAGTATGTTTCAACACGTGCAATGATTTTTGATACAGATATTTTAACTCTTATGTGGGCGGTGAAGTATGAAGCGAAATTGAAGGCGTTTTCAACTGATGACAACAGTTTGTCGTGGCTCAGAGCGACGCGTATTGCGTAAACGGATGAAAAGTACAAAGAAACATTTTAATTAGTTTTCATTG